TACTCATGGTGTTTCTTTATTCCCTAGCCTTTAAAGAGATTAAGCTCTCCTGCTGGGGAGCAGAGGGCACTGACCCAAGCTTCTTGTGTTGGGAGCCTAGGTCTTGGTCACTGGCTTTGTGTGCTGGGGCCTCTTACGTTGGCAACTGGAGGCTGTAGGGTTCTGGCAGCTTATCTGGTGTTGGGCTGGAATCAGCAAGGCTGGGACTTTCAGGCAAATCTAGGTTGCCTGCTTTTCCTTTCCTTTAGCTTTATTTGGCTCCTTTTAGATGGGTGCTGCCAGGTGTTTATCTGCCTGGGGTCCCTTGCGGTACTGCCTCCCTTAGTTCTGTTGAGGCACTGAGAGACTCCTTTGCTGTAGAATGCTGAGGCACCTGGTGGTTTTCTGAGCTGGTTTCCACCGGTTTCCCCACCCTCACTGAGGCACTCGGAGGTACAGCTGTTGGTGTTTGCCTGCTCGACCACCTGTGCTTCGGGATCTCCTGGTTGGCGGTTGGAGGCTGTAGGGTTCTGTCAGCTTACCAGGTGTTGGGCTGGAATCAACAAGGCTGGAACTTTTTGGCACCTCTAGGTTGCTTTCTTCAGCTCCTTTCAGATGAATGCTGCCAGGTGCTTATCCGCCTAGGGCCCTTTGTAGTGCTGCTTCCCTTATTTTTGCTGAGGCGCTGGGAGACCCATTTGCTGCAGAATGCCGAGGCACCAGAATCTCCTCCTGGTGTGCTAAAGTGGGTCTTTCCACTAGCTGGCTGGGTGACTCCCGGTTCCTTACTGCCCCCCTTCCCCCAGGGTAAGAGGGGCCTTACCCGTTAATCCCTCTAGCTACCTGGGCTACTGCACTGCTGCTCCCCGTCTTTCTTCTGGTTCATCTGTTGCAGGGTTTTTTCTGGGGTGATATTTTCTGGGTTTTCAGAGGTTGATAGGGGGAAGGTGAGAGCGACTACCTTTTTACTCCGCCATCTTGGCTCCCGGAAGCGGAAGTCCACTGAAGTCTTCTTGACTCTAGGTCTCTTGCTTTCCAATTTTCAGGGTCAGTAGATAGTGCAGTGGGCCTGGAGTCAGGAAAACCTGAGTTCAAATTCAGCCCCAGCCACTTCATAGCTGTGTGAGCCTGGGCAAGTCACTTAACTTCTGTTTGCCTCACTTTTCCTCAACTGTAAAATGGGAATAGTGATAGCACTTCCCTCTCAGGGTTGTTGTAAGGATCAAATGAGATATTTGTAAAAGGTGCTTTAGCACAGTGCCTGGTATGTAGTAGGAACTATCCTTCCATTTCATCTCCCTGCCTTAAGTCTCCTTACTCTAATCCATTCTCCACTCAGCTTTCAAAGTGATTTTTCTAAAGTGCAGGTCTGATCTCGTCTCCTCTCCAATCAGTAAACTCCATTGACTCTCTGTCATCTCCAATAAGTTAACAAACATTTAGCAAGTGCTTGCTGTATTTCAGGCACAAATGTGAAGTCCTCTGCTTATGTCCAGGCATGCTACAATCCATCTACAATGGTCTACTTTCAACTTCTTCAGCACAGGTCAAATCCCACTTGCTGCAGAAGGCCATTCCCAGTCTCTCGCCTTAATGAGCCCCTACCCCTGCTCTCCAGTGACTTTATTCTGAGATTACCTTCTATCTACTCTGTATTTATCATGTGTGTACATAATTGCATGTCCTGTCCTTAATTAGAATGTGGACTTCTTGAGGACAGGGGCAGAATTTTTGCCTTTCTCTTTATCCCTAGTGCTTAGCACAGTTTGTGGTACATAGTAAGCCCCCGATCCTAACATTTCTTTCTCCGCAACATCTTTTGCATATGATTTCTTTTCTCCACTCATATATCTACTGTCTCCATAGTAGATGTGTACATAACCATAATTTCCCTCAATATCTCCCTTTGAAGGGAGATATCTCATATAAGAAATAGTATTTGTAAAGCTAACAAAAGAGAAAGAGGAAAAATTAGCATGACCCATCAATATTTCAAAAAAGTCTAAAAATGTATCCAATGTTTACTTGTGAACTGCCCCCATCTCTACAGAGGGATGAAGGTGGGGTATCTTCTCACATTTCTTCTTTCAAGCAGTGCTTGAAGGTCTTTATAGTTTAGCCGCTTTCATTTTGTTGCAGCGGTAGTTGTCTTTTTCCATTTACATTGTTGTAGTCATTGTAGATATTGTTTTCTTAGCTCCAGTTCCTTTACTCTGCAACAGTTCATATAGATTATTCCATACCTCTCTGTATTCATCTCATTCGTCATTTTTTGTAGCACAGTAATGTATTTCATTGTACCACAATTTGTTTATTTCTCAGTTTATGGGCATCTAATTTATTTCCAATTTTTTGCTCTTACAAAATTGTTGCTATATATATTTTGCTATATATGGTTGTTAATAGTTTGTCATTCTTCTTTTGAGACCTGTTTGTTCCTATCTTTTCAAAAATTACCTATTGAGAAATGGCTTTTGGTATTAGCTAGCTGTTAATTGTTTATATATCTTGGATAACAGCCCCTTATCAGAGAAATTTGGTACAGAATCCTTTTCTCCCCATTTAACTGCTTTGCTTGTCTTACTTAAATGCATTCATTTTGCTTGTGCAGATACTTTTCAGTTTTATGTAATCAAAGTTATCAATTTTATCTTTTTTAATTGTCTCTATCTCTTGTTTGATTAAAGAATATGTATCCTATACATAGCTGTGAGAGGTATATGATCTATTTTGCTTCTAATTTTTTTATATTATGATCCTTAAAATTAAGGTCTTATATCAATTTTGAATATGTTGTGGAATATGGTATGAAATGTTGTTCTAAGATTTAATTCTGCCAGACTGATTTCCAGTTTTCCAAACAGCTTTTATCAAATAAGGAGTATTTTTGTACCCAATTTATTTTTTCAAAATTATTAAAGACTAGGCTGTTGAGTTCCATTGTTTCTGATTCTTCCTTGTCTAGTTGGTTCTATTGATCTGTCTCTTTTTTTTTTTTAGCCAATTCTAGATGATTTTTATGATTGCTGTTTTATACTATAGTTTGGGGTCTGGAAGTGTCTTCTTCATTCTTACTTCTTTTCATCATTTCTCTTGATATTCTAAATCTTGGTTTATACAAATGTATTTTGTTATTATTTTATTAAGTTCTATAAAATATCTCCTTAGCAATTTGATTGGTGTAGCACTAAAAGGTATAAATTTGGTAATGTTATCACTTTTATTATGTTGGCACAGCCCAGCCATGGACATGGAATATTCCTTCAGCTATTTAAGTTGACAGCCCAGTCATGAACACTGAATATTCCTTCAGCTGTTTAAGTTGTTCTTTATTTCATTAAGGAGAACTTTGTAATTGAATCTATATGACTATTTTGTGTGCCTTGCTAGGTTTGTTCCCAGAAAGTTTGTATTTTTGTAGTTATTTGGAATGGAATTTCTCTTTCAATTATTGCCTCTTGGATTTAGTCATTATTATCATATCAACATATAGTTGCTTTTTGAGGATTTATTTTCTAGCCTGCAACTTTGCTGAAGCTATTGTCTCAATTATTATCTTTGCTAATTTTCTAGGATAAACTAAGTAAGCCATCATGTCATCAAGATATAAAGATAGTTTTATCTCTTCTTTACATATATTTATGCTTTTAACTTCTTGTCTTATTGCATTTCCAGATATGTAGTGTTTAGCATAAGGCCTAGCACATGGTAGGTGCTTAATTAATGCTTAACAACTTGACCTGTAGATTATGAGATTTTCCATTTTCTCTTGTTTCCAGATAACATTTTACATTGACCAACATTATTACCTCGTATGCTTAACTTTTTCTTTGGAGTTTCCAACATATATCTAGTAAGTGATAGTTTTAGTGAAATGCCTTGTAATTCAGCTTTCTCCCAGTTTTCTGTTGGGAGAAGGGAATGGAATAGGTATTTATATGGTGCCTACTGTGTGCCAAGCTTTGTGCTAATCACTTGTTACCCATATCTAGTTTGATATTCACAACAACCCTGCAAGGTAGGAGCTATTATTCCCATTTTACAGTTCAGGAAACTGAGGCAAACAGGTAAAGTTATTTGCTCAGGGTCACACAGGCAGTAAGTGTCCGAGGCCAGATTTGAACTGAAGTCTTCCTGACCTACTGCACCACCAGTTGCCTCTGTTACAACTATGTATAAACTGTTCCTGGTTGTTGGGGTTAGGAATGCATTTTGATTTATCTACTACTGACTGCCCCACCAAGGTTCGGAAAGACTGTGTGGGGTTATAAACCTGTACAGAGCTTCTAGGAGTTAGTAATTATTGCTTATTCCCCCAGGATGACACCTGAAAAAAGGCTTATCATGGATGTATTAGGAAATTAATTCTAAAATAATCTAAGTTTGTCAGTTCACTAGAGTGGGCTTAGCTTTTAAGTCATTCATTATATGCAACAGTAATTCCCCGGAATATAAATTAGAATGTTTTGGTTGATCCATAATGTATCACATGGACTTTGGATCATCTGTTTTAAAAATAAAACAATGGAAGTAATTTATTGAGTTATTTAATGTATGAAATTATATTAATTGGAAATAGTGCATCCATTTGAATTGCATTCCCACTGTCTATAGTTTGTAATGTAGTTTGTTGTTATTCCTCCATACTTGAAGATGGTATATCAAGAAAGCAGAAGAGCAAATTAATATTTATCATAAATATAAATTAATGTTTTGACAACTCATTGATCAATTAAAATAAGATACCTAAAATATTTGCATTTGCCTTTCAAGCAGCCAACTATGTGATTTGCGGTGTGTGGAGTTCAAGTTTGTGGCTTTGTAAGATTATATATGGCCTAAAGAGAAAGTATTAGCTAAACTTATTTTAAAAATAGAAATGCATGTATAATCAGCACCATAATACCTGCAGATTGGTGAATATTTGACTAGCAAATAACCAGGGAAAAAGTAAAGTCCAATATAAATGTATAAATAACTGAGTTGTCATTGAAATATTATTATTTCTTACACTTTTTCAGGAATGGGTTGTTTCTGGGGAGCAGAGCGGAAATTTTGGAACTTGACGGGAGTCTATTCTACTCAAGTTGGCTTTGCTGGAGGCTACACTTCAAATCCAACTTATAAAGAGGTCTGCTCAGGTAGGAAGATTTTGATTTTTGGATGACCAATGTAATGGGTATTTGGGGTAGCTACCTTTTCTGTAGTGCTTACACAACTCACAAAGGGCATGTGGACCCTCTTTGGGCTGGCTCACTCATTCTAACTACCTCTCATTTTGATAGGTCTAGGCGCCCAGAGAAGGTCCACCACCAAATAGTTTCTCTCAAATTTGTTCAGGGTACTAAGGCTAATTCTTTGTGGGTAAATACATTCCCCCAAGTCAGTACTACAGCTCCTGAACCCCCATTGGTGTAGGTCAATTTTCAAAAAATGAGCCATTCACAATAGTGACATTCTTAGATCTGAAATATAACCATTTATTTAACAATATGGCAGAAGAAATAATAACATAATAGATACGTATATAGTAAAACAAATGTAGGAATAATAAATACATTGCAATCCATATACATAAACCTGGGTCATGCTTGTATTCACCAATATATTCATTATCTGTGAGAATGAATCAGCACACAGTTATAGAAACACAGCAGCAAATCAATCATATGAGTAAGGAAAACCATTAACTCCTCTTTCTGTCTCAAATACTGTCCATAATATTTTCTTGATGAAGTACCTTCTGTGTTGAATAGATTATCCATTGCTAAGATGAGTTGTTCAATGCTGTGATTGACTAATAGTTCATTGGACATGATGTCTCAGCTGAAATAATGGCGGTTTGTTCACACCTCAGTAATATCACAATAATCCCTTCTATAGTTTCCTCACTTAAGACAATAACACAAAGTTAAGCAAAAGCATATGCTGCAATAACTGTGACTGACAGAGTTCCATTCCATAACTGTAGTCTAACTCTATTTAGAGAAGAGAAATCTGTTCAAATCAATCATTGGGAACCAGTATTGGTTTTCCAGAATGATAGGTTTGGTCATGCTACCTCCCTCCACAAATAAACTCCAGTGACATCTTATTACCTCCAGAATCAAATATATGGCATTCAACACCTTTCATAACCTAACCCTTTCAGACCTTTCAAGTATTCTTACACTTTACTCTCTTCCACATACTCTCCCATCTAGCCATGCTGGCCTAGTTGCTGTTCTTCAGACGAACTCCATCTCCTCTCTGTGACTTTTCACTGGCTGTTTTCCGGTGCCTGATATACTTTCTCTCCTTACCTCTGCTTTTCTTTTTCCCTAGATTCCTTCAAGATTCATCTCAAACCCTCGCTTCTTCAGGAGGTCTTTCCTAGTCTTCCCAATTAGTGTTATTTTCCCCTCTGGGATCACCTTCCATCTACTAAGTACACATGTAGTCATTTTCATGTTTGTCTCTTCCGGTAGAACATGAACTTCTTGAGGCTATGAAATATTTTTGCCTTTCTTTGTTTCTTAGCACTTATCATGGCGCCTGACATATAGTACAGGCTTTTTATAGTAAAGGGTTTTCCTTATGTATCTACTTGCATATATGTTTTTATTTGTTTTAGTATCTTTCTTCTGATTATAATGTATTCTGTAAAAATTCACACTTTTATTTATAATTCTGGAGTCGTATACATATATATGTGTGTGTATTTTATTGTTATTATTTATTTGTTTTTCAGTTGTGTCTGACTCTTTGTGACCCCATTTTGGGTTTTTTAGCAAAGGTACTAGAGTGGTTTGCCATTTCCTTCTCTAGCTCATTTTACAGATGAGGAAACTGAAGCAAACAGGGTTAAGTGACTTGTGCAAGATCACACAGCTAGGCAGTGTCTGAGGTCAGATTTGAACTCCGGAAGAGGACTCTTTGATTCCAGGCCTGGCACTGTGTCCACTGCATCATCTAGCTGTCATATATATAAAATTATGACATATAACTATATTTATATCTGTTTATCAATTTTTATGTCTTTGGAGGCATATGTATATATATATTTTTATAGATCTTTAAATGTTCACGTATCTATCTATATTTATATTGCGTGTCTGTGTGTATTTTTACTTACCCTTGTGAAAGTAGGACAGTTTCAGGCATTGTGGATGTGTTCTCTATGCATATGAATGAATTTATTAAAAGAGGATGTTTATCTGTGTATAAATATATCATTGGCCACCCAGGTTCAAAATCTCAGAGTCATACCTCACACTCACTTCTTCTCATCTTCCTGTATTTAATCATTTGCCCAAATTTGTCAATTGAAACTCACAGAATCACAGAATCAAAGAATTTTGGCGTTGCGAGAGAACTCAGCAACTATATATGCCAACCCATACCTAACAATGACTCGTCTTTACAACAGACCTCAGAGATATTCATCCAGCTTTTACATAAAGATTTCCAGCGAGGGGGAATCCTTTATTTTTGAAGCCCATTCCGCTTTTGGACTGCTCCGGTTATTGGGTGTTTTCTTGACTCCAACATGAAAATCCTTCCCTCTCTCGCTTCTCGAACTCCCTCTCTTCTTCTGCCTCTACAGCTGCAGCTCCTTCAGCTGATCCTATATGGCATGAACGCTGGGCCCTTCACCATTCTGGTTGCCCCATTCGGGATGCTCTCCAGCTTATTGACATCATTTCCAAAATGTGCTACCCAAAACAGAACACAGTATCCATTATTCTTTGACTAGGGTAGAATATAACAGGTATATAACTGCCTTATTCCTGGAAGCAATGTCTCTCATAATTGGGCACAAATTAACTTTCTGGACTGACACATCATACTGCTGACTTGCTAAGCTTACAGTGCACCAACTTAGTCTAAATTGCTAATCATACTTCTACCCATCTTGTACTTGTCAAGTAGATTTTTTGAATGTGAGTAAAAGACTTTATATTTAGCCCTATTAAATTTCATTTAATTCAGTTTGGTCCTATGTTCTAGCCTGTCTGGATCTGCTGTCATAGAGTGGGTTAGCTTTTCTTCTAGTTTTGTGTCATCTCCAGATTTGATGAACATGCCATCTCCATGCCTTTAGTGAAGTCATTGGTAGCGATGTTTAAACAGTACAGGGACATGCACATATCCTGAGATGTTTCACTGGATAATTTCCTTCTCAGCTGAGAATAAATGAGTAGATTTTGAATCAGGCCATTCAACAAGTTCAAAATTTATTGAAGTATAAGTGTCTTTTGTTGTTGTTCATTTGTTTCAGTCATGTCTGACTCTTCATGACCCCATTTTGGGGTTTTATTGGCAGAGATACTGGAGTGGTTTACCATTTCCTTCTCCAGCTCATTTTATAGATGAGAAAACGAGGCAAACAGGGTTAAGTGACTTGCCCAGGGTCACACAGCTAGGAAGTGTCTGACGCCAGATTTGAACTCAGGAAAATGCCTCTTCCTGATTCCAAGGCCTGTACTCTTACCGATTGCACCACCTAGCTGCCTCGTTTACTTTCTTATAATTTTTCTACAAGAATAGTATAAGAGATTTATTAAATGCTGTGCTAAAACCCTCCCCACCCCCACCCCCATGTTTGTGTATATCTGGATCTATATCTACATCATTACACTGATCTACCTGTCTAATAACTGTCAAAAAAAAAAGGAAATAAGATCAATTTGACTTAATCTATTCATGATGTAATTACACAGATTCTTTGTGAGCACAGCTTCCTTTTCTAGGTGTTTCCTAACCATTTCTTTAATATTATGTTCTAGAATTCTGCCAGAATTAAAAGACAAGGTTACTGGCCTATTGTTTAAAATTCTATTTTCTTCTTCTTCTTCTGAAAATTAGAGCAACACTTACCCTTGTCCAGTTCCCTGGTACTTTTACTGTTTTCTACAGTCTTTCAGGTATCACTGACAGTGATTTAAATAATCAAATTCACTTGCACCTGATTATGTAGTCCATCTGATTAAGGTAACATTAACTTATCAAAGATATCTAGGTGATCCCTTACCATCTACTTATTTATGTTGGGTATAAACTCTTTATTAACATTTTTTTGGTGTCATTTCTAATCCAGAAGTCATTCTTCCTGACAGAGAAAATAGAAACAACCAAAACCCAATTCGAACAACAATTCTTCAGTTATCATTTTCTTTACAATGTATCTAAAAATAATTCCTTTTCTTTTCCTTAGCTTTTCTTATAAGCCTCAGCTTATTCTGAGCTGTAGCATTCTTGATTATTCTTTCTTTTCTTACTTCCATGCCATGCTTTTATATTCTTCCTCATCTTCTGCCATTGTTTCCATCTACTGTACAGATTTTTAAGAAATCTAAGTTGGTTGATGAGTTCCCAGTGAATCAATATTGTTCTCTTTAGAGAACTCTTTCTCTTCAGTGAAATTGATTCTCTTTGTGTATTCAGAATTTTAATCACCGGAAGCTTCCCATCAGTCTTACACTTACTTCCCTTGTAGAATTTTAACCTTTGGTCTTTGGTCTTTGACTCTTGTACCCCTTCTCTGCTATCTATCTCCTCTTTACATACATAGCCATTGCCTTCATCATCTTTCATCTGGACTATTGCTATAGCCTTATAAATGTTCTTCTCTCTATTTCTAATCATTTTGCTCTCTAATTCATCCTTATAAGTTGCCGATATAGTCTTTCTAAGGTCCTTGGCAACCCTTTAAAAATCAAACTGGCCCTCGGGCAGGTGTGGCCCCCTAACTTTTTCCAGTGTTAGAGAGATAATGGCATAAAAGGGGGCAGAAGAAGAATTACACTGTTTTCAGAGCATCTATAAACATCAAATTATTTATACTGTAAATATGAAATCTTTATGCAATCACCATTGAGTGGCATACTACTGAAGCAACTAAATTGTATCAATCTTGATAATCTCACTTAATGAAGCTAGAAGAGAAAAGGAATGATGGAAACTAAATGGAAGGATGACTCATAGGTTCTCCACAGAGAGGAAGATAGAGGAGTTGATGGGTTTGGTTCTGTCTGTTTTGTCAAAGTCAGTAAGAAAGATAATTTTATGCCACGTTTAATCATCTCATATTGTAGTAATCATAATAAATATTTACAAAAATATAACCATAAGAATAAGTGCAGATTATGTGCAAACATCT